TGCCCATGACCCCTCTCCCAAATACAGGGGAGTTGGCACTCTTCAGCCTTTCCAGAGTTAGGGAATCCTGCCATGACAACCCTCACTCACACAGCTAACGTGGGGCAGAGCCAGCATGGGAACAACGCTAGCTCTCGGATTTGCACCCCAGTCTGGTGGCCAAAAAATAAGAACCTGAGGCCCTCCCTGGCGGCGCAGCAGGGTAAAGCACAGCGCTGAGAATCTAAAGCCGCTTCCGCATGAGTTGATTTCCCGCCTGCCCCGGAGGTGACCACATGGCGCGGCAGACCTCTCCTGACCCGCCCGCTGCTCCCCTCAGCAGTGTACTTCGTCGATCTGCCTGTTCTGTTCCCTGCTCTGTCTCTGGTGAAGCCTCTCGCCACCCCTGAGCCTCTGGCCTGTACCCCAGTTCTGTATGCACAAATAAATAAATCTTTAAAAAAAAAAAAAAGAACCTGAGCCAAGGATAGGTTCCTACGGAAGGAAGCCTGCAAAGGAGATGTGGGGCTTCTCTAAAACCGCCTCTTTCAGGAAAGCCAAGGTCAGGCAGGAAGCGGGGAGGAGGCGGGTTCAGGCTGAAATGAGAAAGGTGTTGAGCCCAAGGACACAGGTTGAAGCAGGTGTGCTGGGGACGAAGGGCTCACGTGAGGTCAGCCTTCCAGCGACAGGAACTGAAGAAAGTTCCATGTAGTTTTGAAGTGGCGGCACCATGGCCACACGGCAGACTGTGGTGTCGGCAGATCAGCTGAAAGTGTGAGCAAAGCAGGACCAAGGAAGATCTTGAGAGAGCCCCCAGAGAGTTGTGACACTTACAGTTTCCACAGTAGGAAGACAAGAAAAATAATATTTAAAGGACAAGGTAGGGGCCCTCCCTGGTGGCGCCACAGGCTGGAGCACAGCACTACAGAGCTAGCTGCAGCTGCTTCAACACGAGCTCGATCCCCGGTCAGGGAGTTACCCACAAGATGCGGCAAACTCTCCTGACCCACCAGCTGCTCCTCAGCAATACATTTCAGTCGATCTGCCTGTTCTGCTCCCCACTCTGTCTCTGGTGAATCCTTTCACCGCCCCTGCACCTCTGGCCTGTACCCCAGTTCTGGATGCATAAATACATTTTTTTTTAAAGGACAAGGTGAAAGAGGCATCCCTCCCCCAAGGAGACAGCAAACTTAGAGCTCACGCAAAGGCGAGAGCTTTAGAAGAGGGGAACCAAGGAGCCGGAAATGCATTTTGAGCAGTGGCAAGACAGAGTCTGGAAGATTGATTTAAAGATCGCCACCAGCAACACATTGCTTCTGAGTTAGAGATTTTTCACCCCATATCTCATAACATTGGCTGTGGACACCCACATCCTTGGGCTCAGCTCAGTCACCCTGCAGCGCAGCCACTAGGAAAGACAGAAACGCGCAGACAAGTGGCAGGCGGTGAGCAGTGGTCTGGAACCGGAGGGTCGCGGGGCCGGATGGTCAATTGAGCGAGACCTCAATTACAGAGCAATCTAATACGCACACAGGTACATTATCACAACCCGATAAACAGCTCTTCAGAATTAAGTGCTTCCAATTTGCTTTCATCTGGCTGGTGCGTCGCCCAGACAATCTGGTCTCACTTGCACACAAATGCGGCAGTGGCTTCTGCAGCGCTGATGTGCACGTCCCGGGGCAGCATTGGCACCGCGAGCCAGGCGTGAGCACCCGTGTGAGGGGTAGATAGACCCGGCCTGGGCCTGCACTGCCTGGCCAGCGTGAGCACTTGACCAGACGCCATCAAGGGGCGTCCAGCTCCTGACACCCGTGGGCACCCAGAGCCTGTGACTCCCAACCCCAGCACTGGGTGCATGTCGGGGGTGGGGAGGGTGTGGCCAGCGGCTGAGCACAGCTATTTTTTCTTTGCCCCCGGAGTCCTGGCTCATCAGTGGTGAACACAGCAGAGGAGCCGTGGGCTGCCCTGACACAGACCCTACAGCCCCACTGTTCCCAAGCCATATGCTGGGCCTCATTTCCTTATGTCGTGGGCAGAGAGCACCAGGCCAGTGTTTCAAAGGAGCCTTAGGTGATTTCTTCCAGGCCACACAGACAGCAGTCAAGTTGGCCCTGGGCCAGGAGTCCCCACCTAGCCCCTCAGCACCTCTACTTTGCTACCTGGAAATTGCTGCGTGTCAGCAAGTTACTCACTTTCACAAACACACACATGGCAGTGGATCAGGCACTCTGCCAAGAACCCCTACATCCGTGATCTCACTAAATCCTCACGACATACTGCCACCACCACCATCCCCCCACCCCGCCCCCAGCCCTTTATCCCGATTCCCAGCTGAACTAGCTAAAGCTGCAAGGTGCTGGTGTTCAGGTCACAGAGCTGGGACCAGGGTCAGGGATTCCAACCCAGTGTCCCAGCTCCAGGGGGCTTTCCTGCTTCTCAGCTGAGTGGTGCCGAGCCAGCCCAGGGTGCTCTCCCTGCAAGGCCCAGAGCCTACGCTGCCTGCCGCCAGCCCTCACTGAGTGTTGGATGCAGCTGGAAGATGAAATTCCCGAACAGCCGGATCCCCTAGGAGGGCACTTAGCTTATGAGAAATATTTTTTTTGTTTTTCCAATTTTCGCCTTTCCCTGAAAGAAAGAGGAACATTTTCCCCTTGTGTTTATCCTTCTAGCTTAGGAGAATGGAAAACCATGCTGGCCACTGACAGCCCATAAAGGAAGTCCTCTGGTGGGATAGATGGGGCCAGAGTGGTGGGAGGTCCAACCCACGAGGCCCAGCCAAAGGAGACCTTAAGTGGACCAGCTGACACCCCCAGCGGGAGAGGCAGGTTTTGAATAACAGGTTTTGAATGACAGTGGCTCCCGCAATCCGTCCACGAACTGGCCAGGTACTGCTCCCCCAGGCAGACCGCTGGCCTAAGAGGAGGTCACAGCCCACACAGGACAAATCCCGGCCCAGAAGCCCCGGCCACCCCTGCAAATCAAAGAAATGATGCTTCTCTGGGGAAACCACATCCTCTGTTCCAAAGGCCTTGGAACTGGGCTTGCCACTCCTCCCCATAATGAGGACACAGGAGACCGGCTGCCATATGTCAACAGGTGCAAAGTTCACTGCCACAGCCAGTGCCCAGACTCTCATGACCCACTCCATGCCAGGTAAGTGGAGTGCTGGTAAGGCCTCAAAAGAGCTGGAGAAAAACACAGTGCATTCCCGCATGGGTACCCACAAAACTGGTATTATGAGCATTTACAGGGTTTGGGATTCCACATTCACCGAGTCACCACGAGGCCACTTTGTCATACAAATCAGTCTGATGGCATCAAAGACAGCAAAGATAGGAGCCTAATGCAATCAGAAGGATGGTTCCTTTTATATATTAATGGCACTTGATATCAACAATTTCAAATTATTTTTCAGCTGTTTTGTTCATGACTGCCTAATTTGTTGATCTTCAGCTTAAATGTTCAAGGCATTATTGAGATGAAGCGGATTCCTGCTGAGGCCAGTACCGCACTCACTCACAGAGCAGTCAACAGAGACCCTGAAGTTGAGATGACTGAAATGACTGAGTGTGTGGGTCAAAGTGGGTGCCACACAAGACTGTGAACCATGAAGACGCCCCGCTTCACACTGGATCCTAGAGGGGGAGATGGAAAATTACCAAGGAAACAAAGGGAAAGTAGAAGTTTGCGGAGGGTAAGTGCAATGCAGAAAGACGAGTGATGGAGAGAATGTGGACACCAGAGTGGGGGGCCATGGCGGGGACGTAGGGAGACCCTCTTAGAGAAGATGGAATGGCAGACTTTGAGGTGAGCTCTGAAAGAGGAGAAACCTGAGGGCAGCCCAGGAGAGCAAATCCCCGACAGCAACCCTGGTCTGGTCCTGGTCAGGCGACCGGTCACATTAGGGGCCAGAGAATAGAAATCACTCCAACCCATACTTTGGCCAGCAAATATTCTGGGGGCATCAATCCATATTTCCAACTTCAAACACACTGGGTATGGCTTTACAGCTGGTGAAAGATGAGCAGCCTCGTTATTTCATTCACTAAATTATGCTATATTAAAATTTTAATCGCAGAACATAACACTGGAAAATGAGTACATCCTTACATCGCTGTTGCCAGTGTAAACTGTCAAACTGTTTCGCTCTGCAAAAGCAATATTGCAACACAAAGAAAAATCCATAGAGGCACTCATATTCTTTGGCCTCCCAACTCTTCCCCTAGGGAATTTATCTGAAGAAATAATGTGGTTCCAAAAAATAAGAGCGTTCTCTTCTGAAGAAAATCCATGGAGGTGTTAATTGTTGCCAGCACAAAAGAAAGATAAATCAAAACAAAAACACCTGGAATTACCCAAATGACTACACATAGGGAGATTTTAAAAAACATTGGCTTGATGAAATAGTATACAGCCACTAGCGTGATACCAAGACCACGGAGCCTTTCAGAAACAAACAGGACGCCCAGCTCCTGGAAGGAAGCAGGAAGGCTAGCAATGTGCGCATTTTAACAGAAAACATGTCAACCAGACCACCAGGTGAACAGGAAGAGGGAGCCCACACGGAAAGAACTGAGATAGGCTGGGGGACAGGAGGTGATTGATGTTGAGAGTCCTTCCAAAATACGATCCTATACTGAATTTTCAATTAAAACTCGTTCAGAAAGAATTGCATTCTCTGCTCGCTGCAAGAGAACACCAGCAGCAGCAAGGACCTTGGTGCACTCTAACAGTAAAGGCCAAATAAAGCCAAATTTGGAGACGGCGAATTGCCATCTACCAAAAGCTTGACTCCTGCAGCCTGACTGAGCAACAATGAAGTAGCGCAGGCTTTCGCGACATCCTCTCCTTTTTCACTGTATGTTGGAGGAAGCGGATTGGGAATCGCATATCCTGCTACTGAATTTGCAGGGGGACAGAAGACTTGCAAGGGTCCCTAACCCTCCCACCCACCCCAACAGGGCCGAGGACGCCCCTTCAAGCCAACCATGCTGGGAGAGGCAGCGTCACACACTCACCTTTCACGATCAGCTCTGCGTAGTTGGACACGCCGGAGCCGCCGTCCGAGCGGATCACACAGCGGTACTTGCTCACGCTCCGCTGGGCCGTGTCTGCCACACTGACCGTGGCCGAGAAGCGCCGGTGGTTGACCACGCGGGTGACCATGAGGGCTGTGTCCCTGCCATTCCATTGCTGCAGGACAAAGGAAGGAAGGGAGAAGTCACACCATCCTGTGCTCCCGGTGCCATGCCCACTTTCCTGGGGCCCAGGAACTTCCACAAGAAGGGGAGTTCCTGGATGGCTTTGTGGGTGATCTGATTCAAGGATCAGCTGATCAAGGATCAGCTGACCAGCAGTGCCGGTAGTCAGGAGAGGGGAAGTGCTCTGCTGGACGCCTGGCTTCTTGCTTTCTGCACTTGGAGCAGGGACTTCACCCCTTGTCTTTCGCATGTGTTCTTCGTCACTTCAGTGGGATCCATAGGATGCGCCCCCAAAGACAAGCTCGGGTAGCAAGTGAAAATGCAGCCCATGAAGTGATGAGGACAGCCTGGCCTGGCCCTAGCCCATGACTGCTGCCTGTTCTCCCAGACAGCAACTCGGGCCCCTCGGGGGTGCAGTGCTGGGTGCTTTCTGGGACCTCTCCTCACCTCATCTCCTGGGCTCCCCATGACACTCCCTCTCCCTGAAAACCCAGGCTCAGCTCATCACCGGCTCTAGAACCACCAGTCTTTTTCTCCATGGAAAGATAGGAAATTACAGGTTGTCTTATGGCATCTCTGGAAGCCGGGGAATATACTGAGGTTTCCCTGAGGTCAGTGAGCAGGTGATTTTTTCTGCCTCTTGCAGTATTTTTCAGACCTAAGCCTATCAAGACTCTGAACTTTCAGGGTGCACTCACTTCCTTCCTTCCTGTGACAAGAACTGTGTCTGCGGTTCTAAGCTGGCTGCAGCCTGTAGCCCGCTGATTCTAAGTGAGCGTCTTCCCCCTGAGCACTGAGGCGTCCTAGGCTGGTTCCCCGGAAGCAGAGTCAGACACAGTGCCTTCCGGCATGTTCTCAGGAGAAAGGGGGTGAAAGTGGGGTGAAGGAAAATGAGCAAATGGGGCAAAGTTGGAGTCCAACTTCAACCCGACTCAAGAACTCCAGAGGACCAAGGGGTCATGGACGTGATCCCACTTCTGGCAAGCGGTCAGCATGTGTACCCCAAGTCCTGTCCCAGCAGGTGGGGAGAGAGGGGCTGGTTCCCACTTGACTGAGGGTAGCTGTCTGGGGGAGGGGGAGCTGTGCGCCTTGAGCAGCCAGGGCCCCAGCTCATAAAGGACACGGTCAAGGGCATGAGAGCATCCGCCTGCCAGCACTGCCATCTCAGCCTCCTCTACAGGGCGCCGTGTGCAGATGCCCCTGAATCCCGCCCCCCCGCCCCGAGGCTTGTTGCTCATCTGCTCCAGAAGCCATATTTTTTTAGTAAGTCCTTTATTTTTTTACTTTTTTAAAAAGATTTATTTATACACACCCAACTCCGATTCCCGTGTCTTCCTCGTGCCCGCTCCCCTTTTTCCCCTTTCCTAGGAATCTCTGCTCATCGACACTGCTCCCACCTTGAGACTCTGCCTGTTCTGCCCCCCAATAATCCGTGATTGGTGACAGAGAGTCTCCAAAAAAATCCTTTATTTTTTAAAAGATTTATTTATTTATGTACACAGAACTGGGGCACAGGCCAGAGGTGCAAGAGTGATGAAAGGCTTCACCAGGGACAGAGCGGGGAGCAGAACAGGCAAATCTACAAAGTACATTGCTGAAGGGAGCAGCAGGCGGGTCAGGAGGGGTCTGCCGCGCCATGTGGGTCACCTCCGGGGCCGGGCACTGAACTCACACTGAAGCGGCTGTGGCTCTCTTGCAGTGCCATGCTTTAGCCCGCTGCGCCACCAGGGAGGGCCCTGGAAGCCATATTTAAAATATGTCTCTAAGGGCTGGGAACATTGGATGTGCCAGGACTCCACCACCGAGCACTGCCTCCTCTGAAAAGCCAGCACGTCCCACAAGTAGAATGGCATAGCTGTGTGTCTGAGAAACATTTTGTTCAAATTAACGGGATTTGCTTGAGCATTTAAGTAAAAGTTACATTAACATTTTGAGTGCTTCGCCTGTGCTAGGCACACTGCTAATTGGTTCAGAGGATATTATTCACTTAATCCTCATAAAATCCCAGGGAAATTCTCCTCAATACTTCTCCTGACCAGCAGCATCAGCTCATCTGAGAATTGTCAAAAAAAAAAATGTAAATTTTAAAGAGATATCTAGGGCTGATGTCCATTTGTGAATGCTGTTTATTAGGGTCAGTAGTCTGTGCTTCCCCCCCCCCTTCCGTAATCTATTATTAATCCTGGAGCTGTGCTCAGTACTAACAAAACAGAAAATGAGAGTGCAGACTATGGAAGAATTTCTACCCAGAAGGATTTCCAGCAAAAGGTTAAAGCATATTTCATGTTGGGGAACAGAGTGGGTAGGGAATGAGCAATGTTCTTAGAATGATCTAGAGCAGTGGTTCTCAAAGCGTGGTCCCTATACCCACTATATCCTCTGGGAACTTCTTAGAAACCCTCACTCTACGCTCCTGTTCCTGGACTAGCATGTCAGGGGTGCAGCCGGGCCATAATGTTTAACAAGCTCTCCAATGTGATTCCAGTGCATGTGAAAGCCAGAGATGGGTTCATTAAAGTCCCATTTCGCAAA